GTGGGGAGGGTGGTCAGCAGTGGGGAGGGTGGTCAGCGGTGGGGAGGGCGGTCAGCAGTGGAGAGGGCAGTCAGTGATGAGGAGGGCGGTCAGTGATGGGGAGGGTGGTCACTGGTGAGGAGGGCGGTGTGGTGTGTTCTCCTCACAGCTCAACAGTGTGTCAATGTAAAGAACACCAATAGTTAAAGCAGTTGAAGCCCCCTCTTTTTTAAGTAAACGGAGCTCTGTTAAAATACATGAAGAGCACCTGCTGTCTGCCTGGCTAGGTCTAGTCCTTTGCAAAGTAGCAATACTAAGAAAATACTAGCCATCTGTCCCACATGTGGAGGAAGTGTGTCCTGTTCTCCACGCGTACTCAGTGCAGGACATAAATCACACTCAGGCTCTCCTCTGCGGACCTGCCTTCTGGGAACATCTGTCTTGCATCTGGAGATGTGAAGTCTCAGGCATCTGTCCTGGGGGAGCCCCCAGGCAATTCCTCATCTCCCTGAGACCCATACCCAAGCTAGGCCAGTGCAGCCATTCTGACACAGTGTCCTCACACACTCACTAGTGGGCTTGACCACTGGCCACCAGGGCAAGGCCAGCTCAGCAGGACTGCACAGGGAGGCCCGGGCCACGTGGGCAGCAGCTGCCTCCAGCAACAGTGCATCCAGCACGTTTGCCAGAGGCTGTCCTTCCCACTTGTGGGGAGAGGTGAGGCCAGGCCTGTGGTCCCAGAGACCACACTGCATGGGTGAGGCAGGATGAGGCCACAGCTAGGAGAGTCCAAGCCAAGGGCAGAGCCTGTGCCTTTGGGCAGCACCAAGTCAAGGATCTGGCCCCCAGCCTGGGACAGGCCTGGCCTGGAACATGGGCCAGTGTGGGAGGGCGTGCCCGAGGGGACTCACCTGCAGGAACCCCGAGGCATCATCGTCCTTGATCACCTCCAGGCAGTACTCCATCAGCCCCGTGGACTGGCGCAGCTTCAACGTGCAGTGATTGACCTGGTCCCAGACCATCTGCGAGGAAGACTCCCATGAGGACCTGCACAGCTCTGCTCCATCTAAGCTTCCCGTGCCCCCCAGGTCCAGCTCAGCAGTCTGAGTTCTGGGTAGCAGTGTGGAGAAAGGCCTCATTGGAAAGCCCCTAAGCTGTGCCGGTGCCTTGCCCTGCTCTGACCCTTGGCTGGCCCTCGATCACACGGTGGGAGGTGCTTTGCCCCCACGTGTCCTCTCCTCACAGGCAGAGCTGGATGCTGGTGCACACCTGCAAGCCATGCACTTGGGAGGCTGAGGCTGAGGACTGCGGTCAAAGCTACAGAGGGAAACCCTGATCCACAACCCAAGGTCTGAGGATGGAGCTCAGGGCCACCGCAGCGTAAAAGGCCTGGGGTTCCAGTTCTGTGTATCTGGCCCAGACAGACCTGGGACAGTGCCCCGCTGACCAGCCCAGGGCATCCAAGGCCAACCTGACCAGGGACTCATGTGGATGGAGGAGCAAGCTTTGCCTGCCTTGTGGAAACTAGCTGTCTACATTACGCCTGAGGAAGGGGCAGAGACGGAAATCCAGGCGGACTGGACCAGCTTCGCCACAGCTCTGGGACTGGGGACCAAGAGTCAGACAGACAGAGGAGCTCCCAGGAGGTGGGGGCACGTGGACCTGGGGTGAAAACTGCGCCATCTGCCTTGGCTCAGGAGAGACAACGTGGGCATTAGCTGCCTCTGAAGGTCACTGGGCCACCAAGCCTTGCTCACCACATCCACTCACTCATTCACGCATTCAGTCACTCGTGCATCCACACAACCGCTCACCCAAGATCACCAGCCCCAACGGCGTGCGCCCCTGTGCCGGACACATTAGGTGCCACAGGAAAGAGGGGCCGGTGCCCACCTTCAGCTTGTGCTCCCTCTCCTTCGTCACCTTGGTGAGCAGCTTGGCCTTCTGCCGGGTCAGGGCGTCCACCAGGGCGTCGCACTGTGCGACCAGGCAGGCTTCATAGTCCAGCCCGTTCTCCTAGGGAAGCAGAGCGCAGCAGCAGGCAGACAGAATCGGGCAAGGGTGTACACAAAGCAGACCTCCCACAAAGCTGGCCCCAGAGCCCTCTGCATGTGGGAAATTTGGGGACGGGATGCAAGTGAGTGAGGAGGGGCACGGCGAGCGGCACACCACGCAGCTCATAGTCACCTGGCACACAGAGCACATCCTGTGCAGTGGGGAAGGAGGAAGAGCCCAGAGGTGGTTGGAAGGGCATAGAACAACAGGCAACGTGGGAGCAAACACGCAGGGTCAGCTCAGCTGGTGGGCTGTGTTGAGCTTTCCAGGACCTCTGGGGTATGTGCTTCTGCTTTTCACAGTTGGTAAAAAGTAAGGCAAACAAACTGCTGCCAGAGCCTCTCTTGTTCATCGAGATCAGTGTGGACGTAGACCCTTGCTCAAGGGTAACCTGTCCCCCAGACAATATGCCGATCACAAGCCAGGACCTCAGAACATGGCTGTGTATGCAGACAAGCCTTTAAAGAGGTCACTGAGTAAAAATGAGGCCATCAGCCTGGCTCTAATCCAGTCTGACTGGTGTCCTACAAGAAGAGGAAATTAGGTCACAGACTCACACAGAGGGACAACCACCAGAGGCCATGAGGAGAAGAGGCCATGTGCAAGCCGAGGCCTGGGAGGACCAGCCTTCCTGCACCATAGCCTTGCATCTCCAGACAGATGGAGAGAAGACCTTTCTGTGGTGTAGCTGCCCTGTTTTTCATATCTTGTGGTGGAAGACACACGCTATGTTGGTAAAACATCAGAGACTTCATGACTTGGTTTTGCACTAATGTGATCCAAGTACTTGGGAAACTAAAACAAGAAGATCAATAATCTGAGGCTAGCTTGAACTATACAGTGAGACCACTGTCAACAAAAAAAGAAAAAGAAAGCCGGGAGCCTGGTATCTCACACCTATAATCTTAACTACTTAGGAGGCTGAAATCCGAGGATCCCAGTTTGAAGTCAGCTGGGTCAGAAAAGTCCATGAGACTCTTATCTCCAATTAAGCATCAAAAAGGCTGAAAGTAGAGCTGTGGCTCACGTGGTAAAGTGCTAGCCTTGAGTGAGAAAGCTCAGGGACAGTGCCCAGGCCCTGAGTTCAAGCCCCAGGAACAGTATCAGAGAGAGAGAGAGAGAGAGAGAGAGAAGGGGGAGAGTGAGAGAGAGGAAAGAGAGAGAGAGACTGGGCATAGTAGCTCATAAATATAAGTCCAGATACTCAGGAGGTGGAGATTGGGACAGAAGCTGGGGTGATGGTGTGTGCACATAACTCTAGCTACATAGGAAGCATAAGTAACAGGATCGCAGCTCAGGCAAATCCAGATAGAAATATGAGAGCCTATGGGAAGTTAGCTCAGTGGTAGAGCGCTTGACTTGTATGCATGAGGCCCTGGGTTCGATTCCTCAGCACCACATAAGCAAAAAGAAAAAGCCGGAAGTGGCGCT